GTCCTGAATCATTTAATCCCCATCTTGGTTGAAATGATGTTGGATTTGATTTGAGTTCAATTGATGATTAAGTTTAATGATTCGAATTTATTTGTTTGTTCTGTTAAGCTTGTTCTGATATAAATCTAACCTTGTTGAATTGTCCTAATGTTGTTGATTGGGAGTTAGTTTCATGTATCTAATTAGTCAATTGATAGGCTTAAATTGGCTATAGCTGAGGTTTCATATCGGTTTAAAGGATTGGGGTAGGATAGTAATCACAAGGGTTTCAGGGGATAGTTTTGGACTTAAAAGTTTGAAAATGGTTGGTTTAAGTGTTCTGTCCAGTAAGTGCTAATGTAACATTAAACTAATGCATTTGTTTAGTGTTAATGGGGAACAAAACATAATGGTATGGGGAAGCTTAAAAGGGATTGATTAAAATATGTTGTCCATACCTGTTTGAACATTAAATAACGAAAAGACAAGGGATAATGGGGAAAAACATACTCTAGTGGAGTTCTAAAAGAAGATCATGGGCAGAATTAGTTTCTTAATTCTGCCTGAGTGCTCTTGAGAGCTGGCAAGGTCAGTGTTTGGGTATAAGTGGATGGACTTAGGACAAAGTTGGGGGGGATTGAAAAAAAGCAATCTGAAAAGAAAGAGTTTTGAGAGAGGGCTTTAGACAATCAGCTCACACTCTTATATTGATTTTAAGAGCAGAAATAGTGGAAATCTCTCTGTTTCTGTTCTGTACTTGGGTGTTCAGGACACTTGAGGGATTATCTGATTGTTGAAAGGTGTTCTATGACCGTCTAGTCTAATTTCTAGTAGATTCAGTGTTTTGGTTAATCTTCTTTCTTCCTGGGCATTTTGATTGTGGCTTGGTCTTGAACTTGACTCTGTTTGTTGTTGTTGATTGTCGACCTGCTGATGTTACTGTTATCTGCTGTAGCTGACCTCCTTTCCTTCTTACTCGTATTTCAACTTCCAGGTACACAGCTGTAACTTTGGCATTTGTAAGCTGAAAACATGAAGTTTGAATATACGTGAAGAGTTGAAATTCTGCTTTGATTTCTATATGACTTGTGTATTTAAATTCTTCAGTCACTGATGATAGGTAGATCCCTGTTAGTATGTAGTAAGTGGACTGAAATGGAGTTGTATGAGAGATTTTTTTTTAACATAGTTCATACTGAAACATGTTAGCCTCTGGTAACTGATTCCTGTAGTTAAAAATGAGCTTGTTGGACTGTTAAATTAATCTGGACTGTGACTGTTAGATTACTGGATCGTTGGATTATGTTCGACTAGTTCTGAATATCAATTTTTTTATGCCAATTGCTAATTCAGGAAAGTACTACATCGATTGAAAGGAAAAGGAAAGTGTAAAATGTAAATAGTATTGGAATTTGATTAAAGCATTGACTATATGCATTAGCTATAGTTAGTTTAGTGTGTTTGTTCAGTTTAAACACTTAAAGCTAGAAAATAACTGAAGTTAGCATTATAGTTTGGAACCTGTGAAATTGTGCTTGCATTAATGGCCGTTGTTCAAATTGGTAATAGCAGTCATGTAAATGTCGAACTAGATGTTAGTATGACAGTGGCATAAGACGTTGACTGATCCGTTAGTTAAAAATAGAGTTGGAGTGTCAATTGCATGTTTTGGAAATACAAAATCATTTTGCGAGTTGTTTACCTGCTTTCAGTGCATTATTAATTCGTTTTAATTACAATAAGTAATAAATTAGTGAATTGGTATTAAACTAGTGAATTAGAAACTTCATTCAGGATCGTTTAAGTTAATATGAGCAGTCTGGGCTATACCGTTGCCCAGTTGTATGGATCATTCAAATTTGGTAAAAAGTCCACCTCCCTTTAGGCCACTAATATACTTGCTAGCCCGATGCTTTGATCAAAGGCCCCAAAATTGGGCATTTTTTTAAACACGCGGGTTTTTAAATATAGTAGTTCATAAATTAACTAAGTTTTTTTATTTGAAGACAATAAAACTAAATAGAAAATCGTAGTTTACTGTAGGTTTTCCTTTAAATAATGGACGAGATGAGCCTCGCCAAATAAAGCACCTAGATTGCGGGGCCCTCGATAATTGTATATATTAAAATACTTAAATTTCGAGACGGGCCGTTTAGCGAATTTCACGGTCTTCCCCAAAATAACGTGTTAGTCTCTTTAGGCGCGTATTTTAATAACATTACCTCCCTAAACTCGGGTGCGCATTTATGTGACCCAAATCCAAATCTCAACAATATTAAAATATGTCAAAGACCACGGGTGCATTTATGTGACGTAGTTCAAAACGTGTTTTAATAACGTTGCAATCTTCCCAAAAATGAATAAAAGCGGTTAAGGTTAAAAATGCACATAGGTTTGAACATGTACTAAAATCAAATAATTAAGCCGAATATAACAGTTGAGCGACCGTGCTAGAACCACGGAACTCGGTAATGCCTAACACCTTCTCTCGGGTTAACAGAATTCCTTACTCGGATTTCTGGTTCGCGGATTGTAATACAAAGTCAATCTTTTCTTCGATTCGAGATTCAACCTGTGACTTCGGACACCATAAATCTCCCAAGTGGCGACTCTGATTTTTTTAATAATAAATGAATTCCGTTTCGATTGCCCTTTAATTGGAAAAACTCCCTATTTACGTCATCGCGGGTGTAGGCGAAAAAGGAGGTGTGACAAACAAATCAAGCTTCAAGGAGCATTAGTTTAAAGCAACTTTCGTGCTAGTTGGATTATCGTTCATGGAAACAAGAGCCCTTAAAATTACCTTTGAAAAGAAAAATAAAAATATTCATAAAAATTGTTACACTCAAATTATTTGGAAAAAAATACTACTTATAATTATTGCAATATTTTTTAGACTTAATTATTTTCTTGACACAAATTTTATTGTCTATATGATGCTCTTTGAATTTCGACCTCCACTTGCCACATGCAAAACTTAAGATCAAAAGTTTAAAGTATTGTTCATTTGGACCAGCAAGGAATAACACTTGTTAAAGTTGAAATTATAGTCATAGGACAAGCAGGGACAAATTTTAAACCATCCACTTTAACTGCTATTTGTGTACTTCACCCTCATAAATTTTAAACCATCCACTTTAAGAAAACAACCCAACTAAAAACAAAAGAACATCTAAAACAGGGTACATGAGAAGGGTATATTAAAAGTATCCCTACGTAGCCACCAACTTTTGGGGGCACATGCCCATATGTTTTTGGACAACAATCTAGGGATATATTTACAAATTTTAAAAGTAAAACAACCCCTTATACCTCTTTTAATTTTCCCTAACGTTCGGAACTATCAAAGTATGCTAGAGGTCCAACAATGGCAGCATTAATATAAGTAGCAGGCTCTGAATGACTATAATCTGTACGTTCATCCGGGAAGAAATCATTTTGATTAGGACCTCCAACAATTGCTCCAACCAAAATGTTTGGGTTGGCATTTGCTGTATAATAGTATGGTTGAAATCCACCATCACAACCAAATGACTGTGGATGCATTGCCATTGAAGGTAAAGATGATCCTCTGTGGTGAACTCTTCGAGGGTAATTTGTTCCATAGCCTACCATGTATGACATTTTCATTGGATTGTTACCTAATATATAGTCCACCTATAATTAAAGACAACACCACAAATTAGCTACCTCAACAAATTGCAAAAATAGATTGTTGTAATAGGTCAAATTCCACTAAGTGTATATATATTTTACATCATCAGTTGGTAAGACTTAATCAAACTCAAATTAAAGTAATTTACTAGTTCGATTTATTAAATGAGACAAGTTTACCTGTCTTTTTGCAAGTATTCTAATGGTCTTTTCTGTGACCAAGAGGCTTCCACAGTTGAAAGTGTGCTTTTTACTTGCCATGTATTTGGCATAAGTGGTAAGCAAAGATGTGATGGATGTCACATATTGAAGATTTTCTTCAGGTAGCTTGTAAATTAGGCCCCCTGTAATAGATAAGTAATTTAAATAAATACTACTCATATAGCACCCAAAATAATAAAAAAGAAAAGAGAAAAAAAGTAGTCCTGCCTCACCTTTTGTATATTGGGTGCTTGTATAAGGTGAGTTGGGTAATATTTTGCAAACAAAGTTTTCAGCCTGTTGTCTGAATGAATCAAACCTTTTGTCATTTCCAACAACGCTTCTCTACAACATTTAGAAACATTTCAGGCTATATATACTGATTATGAAGTCTTAAATAACCGAAAGAACCAAATTTTATTAATACAAAACATACATGTAATTAATGTGAATAATCTGGATCAAATACGTACCCTTGCCATAAGAACATGAGCACCAGCATACTTGTTGTCCCAGCTAAATAAGTCTGGTACATCATTGACTCCCAATGTGTTTATGAAGTTTAAGTATGAAATATCATTTGTTGCTCTCAATAGCCATGCCGCTCCCCAATATAGCTCATCCTACAAAGTCAATTAACGCAATTTAAATTGGCCAGATCGAACAACCATTTATTGGGCAAGTTACATAGTGGGTCAATCGGCCAAAAATACTTACATCCCCTAGCAGATATACACATATTATCCACTAATTATGCATGGCTACACATATATACATATATTATACATTTGACATCTATTGTTTTGGACGGGCGGGCAGCTATTTAGTATAAAATCCCTCTTTTTGAACCAAGCAATCAAATCCTACTCATCAAGGTTGTTGGCAAAGGCGGATCCAGAATTTATATTTTATGGGTTCAGCATTTAAGTTTTTTAACATTGAACTCATTATATTTTTAAAGTTATGAGTTCATATATACTATTTTTGTAATTTTGATAAAAAAATTTTACACCGGCTCAATTGAACTCATTACTAACACACTACATCTGCCTCTGGTTGTTGGGCCAGAAAACCATTTATCTATAGACCCAAGTTTGTATTTGAAGGTTGGTTCGGTTTTTATCAATACCAAACCAAATCAACTATATCAGTTTGGATTAGTTCGATTTTGTCGGATTTTTCGGGTTTTCGGGTTTTTTTGTTACATGGTCATTATTTCAATCTTACTTTGTTAAAATTATATATAAAGCTTTGATAAGTGAATATATGTTTAGTAAATATGGAAAAAAAAATTAACAAACATATGATATATTAAAATATTCTAATGGAATTTTTTTTTTAATAACATATAATAGTTATTTTCTTAGTCGTCTAACAATAATTTTCGTTAATTTACGCTTTCAAGATTAATACATGAGAGGATCCAAATATTTCTACATTTTCGAAAGAAAATTCCCTATAAAGTCTTAAAAATATGAATAAAATCTATATATTTATATGTCGATTTGGTTCGAATTTTTTTACTCAATACCAAACCAAGTCAAACTAAATCTAGTCGGATGTTTTAATCGATTTGATTTGATTTTTCGATTTAATGCGATTTTCCTGTTCGGTTTAAACACCCCTACTTTAAGCCATAACTTGGCTCGGTTTAAACACCCCTACTTTAAGCCATAACTTGGCCCAATAATAAGGGAAGTGGACTATACATACCTTATAACCAGAGTATGAGCAATAGAATGGGCAAGCTGCAGAGCCTAGTGAATCACTATAGGAGCCTCTGAATTGAACTGCAAATCTAAACACTTTCACTGCATTTCCCAGTAGCTTTTTTGAGTACACCGGATCAACCGTCCGGAAAACTAATGAGGCAGCAGCTAAAGCAGCGGCCATTTCTCCGGCCACGTCGGAACCAGGACTGCTCGGAGAGACATAATAGACACTCCGGACAGTATCCATATCTTCAGGCCTTTCCCAACACTTGTGATCAGCATTTGGATCGCCAACGCCAACGAAGAGCTTGTTGGGCGCAGCATTTGCACATTTGAGGAAGTAATCGGTGGCCCAACGTATAGCGGCCCGTGCATTTTGCAATTGGGGCCCCATTCTCTTGCCATACTCAAGTGTGTTCCAAGAGAGCATTGTGGTAGTGTATGCCATTGGGAAATTGAACTTGACATTGTCTCCAGCATCATAATAGCCTCCAGTTAAGTCCACCTGCCAAAATTGTAGCACTTATTTTAGACACAATGTTTCTCAATCCTTCACTCAAAATAAAATTAGAAAAATCACTCAGGGACATAATGATGATAAATACTTCTATAAGAGAATAATGATGGTTTGTTATGAACTTATATCAAGCATGAAAGAAAGCAATGATATTTTCATACACGCACATTTCAAATAATTAAACAATAACAATTTTATAATAGCAGAACTCATTTTGTGTATCGTTAATGAATGACATTCTACTGACTATCAAATAATATACGTTAATTAAAGTATAGCAAAATGGAAAGAAGTTATAAATCAGTAACCATAGCATCCATATGACTGATATTTTAACACCTAAATCCTAATAAAAACCAATAACCTAGCAACATAAGGGATTTATGTGGTATAGTTCTTAAGTCGCTTGTCGTCTTCTTGCGCCGAGAGTCTCCTAGACACAGCCTCTCTGCCCCTCGGGTAGGATAAAGACTGCATACACATTACTCTCCCAGACCTCACTAGTGAAATTACACTGGGTTGTTGTTGTTGTTGTAGTTCTTAGTCGCTTGTTAAACTTTAATTGCAAATCCATGGTAAAATATAAAAAAAAAAAAATTGAACTTACTTTAGCAAGTGAACCATCTGAAAGTCCCGAACTACCCCTCCAAGAGACACGCTGGTTAGGGGGAAGTTTCCCTGATCTTTGTCCTTCAAAGAACAAAATGGACTTTTCAAGAGCTTCTCTATAGTTGAAACCCCCTTGGGCAGTACCCAATGAGAAGAAGAATGATGAGAAGGACAAGAAGAGAATGATGCAAACAGAAACTTTCACTCTAAACGCCATTATACTTTTTTTGATTTGCTCAAAGTATAAAATGGCTTGTTTAGAGTTAGTTATGGCGTTGATTAAAAACTTTGACAAATGACCCCTTTATATAGGGCTTAGGGAATCCAATCACAACAACGCAAATTAAGGCTTTTCGATCAAGTGTCTTTTTCTTTATTGTCATTTCCTTTTGAAAAATTATTTGATTTCCATTTGAGTAAACATATACTATATCGAAAGACACGAAAAGGTAGTCCATGCCTAAAGGTAGCGGCTCCTAATCTCTTAGAACTGTTTAGGTTGACCAAGAATTTCAAGATGAGTCACCAAAAGACCAAAAGCAAATCAAAGTGTTTCAAGGCTATTGAGAAAATGGAATGGAGGGAAAAAACACAACTCCCAAAAATACTTTAATATTTACAGAATCAAATCATTTAAAATATAATTGCAGATAGTTTTATTTAATAAATAAATATTGATTAATAACATATACTCCCTCCGTTTCAATTTATGTGAACTCATTTGACTGGGCACGGAGTTTAAAAAAAGAGAGAAGACTTTTGAACTTGTGGTGTAAAATAAGGCACATATATTTTGTGTGGCTATAAATCATTGCATAAAAGTAAATTGTTTCCAAATAAGAAAAGAGGTCATTCTTTTTGGCACGGACCAAAAAGGAAATAGGTTCACATAAATTGAAACGGATGGAGTAATAAATAGTACGTGATTTGCTATATAATTTAAATTATATTGATGATGTAAAAAGATTTCATCACTATCTGTGTATATATGCGCTAAAATGTTAAATCCAATATTTCCTCTTGCATCTCACCAAAATTCTTTGATATTTCTTCACAATTAAAGGCTATCAATTATCATGGCATTCGAGGTAAAAATTAATTCTTGTAAATTTATATTTGGCCGTCTCGAATCCCTATAAATGGGAAGGCCAAAACGATCACCCTTCTTTTCCCTCCTCTTTTTTGGGGTACCAATGGACGATGTGATATTTACCCTCTACTGCAGAGTAACTTTATCTGACTTGTGGTTTTGAAGATTAATATTTAATAGGAGTAGACTCTTTTTTATGTACTTCTTTTCCCATATATATTTATTAAATCAGAGAAGTATTCTACCATTTGATTTTTCAATGACCTTTTTATATTTTTTATTTAACGATTAGCAAGTTTACTTAATTAATTTAAAAGATATATTCACTGACGGTTTAACAAATATTAACACAATCAAATTAATAGATCTAAAAAATAATTAGAAACTTTAATAAAAATTATACTTAATTAACTTAATATCACGTGTTAAATTAAGCTAATAGTACAAAGAGCATGTACGTTGTCATTGTATATCAGAAACACGAGAAACAAAGAAAAGAAAAATGGAGAAGCTATCAGTCCTTTAGGCCTACGGCGTAATGCTTCATGTTTTCTTTCACAACTTGAGCTAATTGCACATTCGTATTCCTCATGTGTTTATTAGGTGTGTCACGACCCGAATTTTCTACCGTCAAGATTATGATGACGCCTAATATCGCACTCGCTAGGCAAACCAACGTTTGAAATTCATTCACCTTTTTCCATTATATTTTATAAGTTAACATTAACAAAACTAAACCAAACTGAAATAAATGCGGAAGTACATAATAAACCGGTGATCTATATGCTATCAACAATCAAAAATTGTTACCACCCAGAAATTGGTGTCACAACCCACGAACACTCTATGAATACCTACAAGTATTGGTCTGAAAGAAAAGTACATATGTTTCGAAAGAAAATAAAACAGGAATGTAGAAAACATAGGAGGGGACGCTAGGGTCTGCGGACGCCTGCAGGACTACCTCAGGTCTCCTAGATGAATGCCTGCAACCGACCTCTCGATTAGCCACAACCAGCTCTGAAATCTACACAGAAAGTGCAGAGTGCAGTATCAGTACAACCAACCCCATGTACTGGTAAGTGTTGAGCCTAACCTCGACGAGGTAGTAACGAGGCTACGGCGGGGCATTCACAATATAACATGCATATAGTTTATAATAAAACAAGAAGAAAGTACGGAATAAAATGGAACAATAATTTGCAGCAAAATGAATACGAAACTCAACTATCTTGCCAGTACTCAGCTATAACCAATCCTTAAGAGAATTACAATACTACAGAATATGATCGCAGCAGAAGAAGAATACATAAATAACAAAATGATGCGGCGGGCATCCCGATCCCGCCATATAATCAGAAATAATATGAACATTCACCCTTATTACTCTTGTTGCAGCGTGCAACCCGATCCCACTAGTCCACCCTTATTACTCCTCATTATATCACCCTTATTCCTCCTATTACGGCGTGCAACTCAATCCCACATGTCCACCTTTATTACTCCTGTTGCGGCGCGTAACTCGATATCACCAGACAATCACATTTCACCCTTACATCCTCTTGTTGTGGCGTGCAACCCGATCCCACCATATCAGTACCAATAATACAATAAGAACAAGTATTTCACAATTTAACTCAAAGCCCTCCACAACATTTATGCCTCAAATCAAAGCAAATGGAAATCTAAACAATTATAAAACTTCATCAGTTAATACTACACAGAGAGACCAACCAAAATGTACCATGAAGCACCGATAAACCAACTTAAATCAATAATGTGATATAATTAACTATGGAGCAATTAATACCTTCAATAAAGAAAATAACATCTAACAAGAAGCAATTAAATATGAAAGAACCAATAAACATGTAGCAGTTAAGACAGGATAACAATACATTAGGAACGGGGAAGGGCACAGGCTAAACAGATAATTTGGCGGTGCATAAGTACTCATCACCTCACTTATACGCCATACACATGGACTTTCACATAGCAATTAAGTCGGGGATCCCTAATCCCTCAAGTCAAAGTTAGACACAACACTTACCTCAATCTAAACGGCCAGCTCAAAGCTCAAATAGCTCATTTTCTCTAGATTTCGCCTCCAATCCACTCGTATCTAGTCATAATTAACTTAATAATATCAATTATCGCTAAATAAATCAATTCCAATGTAAAATTATAAGTTTCCTAACATTCTCCCCAAAAAGTCAAAAACCGACCTCGGGCCCACTTGGTCAAAACTTTAGGTTCGGACCAAAACCCATTCACCATTCACCCACGAGCCCAAATATGTAATTGATTTCGGAATGCGACCCCAAATCGAGGTCTAAATTCTCAAATTTGCAAAATCCCCAATTTTTCCCAAAATCCCTAATTCTACCATGAAATAACAAGATTTAGGGCTAGAAATCTAATTGGTGCTGATGGAAATTGAAGGAAATAAGTTAAAGAACACAAACATATGATTTGGTGTTGAAATCCCTCTTCAAAAATCGCCCTAGGTCGAGTTCTAGTGAAAAAGATATAAAAATTTGAACAAATCCCGACTTTGGTTCTATTTTAAAATCACTAGACAGGTTTTCTTCGTGTTCACAAGAAGCCTGTCGCGTTCGCGATGCACAGCGGCCAAAGGCCTTCGCATTCGTGAGATACCCATCACGTTCGCGAAGGCGTACTCCCCCCAGCCTCTGCGTTCGGGAGCCTAGTGTAGCGTTCGCGATGAGCAACTTTCCCCTTCCCCAGGTCCCATGCTTCGCGTTCGCGATCACCTGGTCGCTTTCGCGAAGGGTAATTCCCCCAATGCTCCGCGTTCGCGACCAGTGCTTCGTGTCCACATAGAAGGATTTCTCCTTCAAACCAACTTACTCTTCGCATTCGCGAGAGTCCCTTCGCGAACACGAAGAAAGAAATACCAAATGATAGCTGAAGCCAAAAACACCAGAATTTCAAGTCTAAAATACCCGTAGCCTATCCGAAACTCACTCGAGCCCTCGGGGCTTCAAACCAAACAAGCGCACAAGTCTTAATACATCATAAGAACTTGCTCGCGCAATCACATCGCCAAAATAACACCTAAAACTACGAATTTAGCATCAAATTGCATGAAATTTTCAAGAAGGTTTCAAAACTTCTATTTTCTCAACCAAAGGTCTGAATCACGTCAAATCAGTCCCGATTCTCACCAAATTTCATAGATAAGGTATAATTATTGTAATGGATCTGTAACAGACTCCCGAACCACAATACGAACCTGGTATCAACAAGATCAATTATTAACCAAATTCTTAAAACCTTTATAATTCCAATTTTACAATTTTCTTCAAAAATTTATTTCTTGGGCTAGGGACCTCGGAATTCGATTCCGGGCATACAACCAGGTCCCATATTTTACTATGGACCCACCAAGACCGTCAGAATACAGGTCTGGGTCCGTTTACCCAAAACGTTGACCGAAGTCAACAAAAATTAACTTTTAGGCCAAAAATATTAATTCATCAATTTTCCACATAAAGACTTTCCGGAAATATGCCCGGATTACGCATGCAAATCGAGGAGAGATAAAATGAGGTTTTTAAGGCCTCAGAATACGAACTCGAGTTCTAAAACAGAAGATGACCCCTTTGGGTCATCATAGTCTCCACCTCTAAAAGACATAGAAAAGTACCTGAGCAGGAGAAAAGATGGGGATATCTGCTCCGCATATCGGACTCAGACTCCTGGGTAGCTACCTCAACAAGCTGACCTCTCCACTACACACGAACCGAAGGATAACTCTTCGATCTCAACTGGCGAACTTGCCGGTCAAGAATAGCTACCGGCTCCTCCTCGTAGGTCAAATCCTTGTCCAATTGGACAGTGCTGAAATCTAATATGTGGGATGGATCGTCGTGATACTTCCGAAGCATGGACACATTAAACATTGGATGCACTACTGATAAACCTGGTGGCAACGCAAGTCTGTAGGCCACCTCTCCCACTCGATCAAGGATCTCAAAAGGCCCGATAAACCTAGGGCTTAACTTGCCCTTCTCCCAAACCACATCACACCCTTCATGGGTGACACTCGAAGCAACACTCTCTCTTCGATCATGAATGCTACATCACGAACCTTACAGTCGGCATAACTATTTTGCTTGGACGGAGGTGCATGAAGTCTATCCTGAATGA